CTCTCATCGAAACCGTTTGTTCACGATAACGAGAATTCTTGTCAACCGGCCGTTAGAGAGATAAATTGCCATGTACCTATATAAAACCTCGATTCTTCCCACCGAGTGTCTCTTTTCGCTTCGAAGCTTCGACAGATCCAAGACGTTTACCTGGCACGAGTCTCCAAAGACTCATTGCGCTACAGTTCCGTGTTTCTTTTCCGCCAACCCTCCCTTTCTCCCCCCCCCCTCCCCCCCGCTACCTTCTTTCCTACACGTCGAGGCCTCTCCCTCAGGAATAAAGAGGAAAATTGACAAACCCTTTGTTTCCGTGTGCACGTCGTCTTTGTCTGTATTTGTCTGCAATAGTTCTTTCTTACAGACTAGTGAAACTGTGCAAAGACGAATCTAGGACTCGAGGTACATTGTAAAATAACTAATTTTCAAGACTCGCAATAAACTCAAATGTGATTTAGAAAATTTCGCGGATAATTCTTTTTTACAGATCACAAAAATAATTTTGCCTTAACCTTTTCTGAATAATAAACGAGGAATGTAATATTGTAATTACTTTTACAATTAGCAAATTTTAATATATGCTTTAAGATCTATTTTCTTTTTGCATTTATAATTATTTTGTGCATCCAGAAGCAAAAAGTACACGCAACAAAAGTCCAATGACATTTGTATAAATTATAGCATAAAAATCCACGGTTGGACAATCTTAATTTAAGCTATTTTTTGCAATAAACATGTATTATATATTTTTGATTAAGCATCTATGAGAATTATTTTATATTTAACCGTAATTAAAAATCACGACTTACAACTCTTCTTACTGCCTAAAATCTAGCTTGTATTTGGCGCATCTTTTTAGAAATAACCGCATTGTCGACGTTATCGTCGTAGCGGTACAAAACGCGCGCACGAGACGTACAACGAGACTGCGCCACGATAAAAATACGAGCGCGAGAGAAAAGCACAAGGTTCATTCAAAGCCCTCTTGGTTTTTTCTTATTTCTCGGTAGTCGGCGCGTAAGAAAGACCGCGAATCATAAGACGCATTCACTATATCTCGCGAGAACCTTCCTCGGCTAATGTAAGGTGAAATTACAGCCCTCCCAAAGTTCCGGTCGACGGTCGCATCGTCCACTCAAAAGCCAGCGACACCTTTTCCGGTGTCCCTTCTTTTCGAGATGTGTAGGTGCGTGCGAGCATTCCTTTCAACTGGATCGCCAGGTGGAACGAACGCTCGCCCGGTTACAAAAGCCGCCGCCCTTAATCTTGAGTGGAAGGCAGTCCTCGACTCTACGAGTTTCAAAGAGGAGTTTTCTAGTTATTGGAGAATATTCTCCAGAGTTTAACGAGATAACTTATACTTTTACGATCAAAGATTGACATTGTACGGATATCGCGGAAGTCTCTCGGAAGCACCGGACTGCGCTGCAGTTTCCGGAAAGGATAGAACGAGGATCGGTTTTCGGGGAAGCGGCGATTTCCGTGTAAACTGTACCCCGATATCGGCGAACGTGTTTCAATTAAAACGCTTGACCTATGCCGTTTTGAACTCGTGTGAGCTTTGTATATCTTTGATGAAAAGATAATCTCGCGTGTTAAGGCAGCTTTAATTTACAAATTTTCATTGTCGGTCAAAATGAATTATTCCACGAAAAGATGTCATGTAAACAATGTGGCCGCAAAAATAATAATCCATAATAAATGAAAAATAAACAAATGATCAGTTTCCATATGAGAATAAATCGTATAAAATTATTTTAGTGTACAAGATACTGTTAAACCGTTTTGCGTACATGTATCTATTTCAGTGAAGAGATTTTTCATGTTTTCTGTTACGAGAACGTGGTGTATACAATCGAGAAAAATCGATAACCGCAATCATGAAGAACGGATTCGTTGGAGATAGTAATCGTTTTATTACCAAGCCGTCTCCCGAAAAATGAAACGCCACGCCGCAATGTACTTAACCGGTAAGCCGACTCGAGTTTTGATGATAAAGTAACCTTGGGATTCTTTTTGTGTAAGCGAGGTATTTAAAACAAAGTTTATACGCGTCCTTATTCGAGCACAGGGGATTATAAAGTTCATTACGGTACTCGGTTAGAAAAAAAGAATTAATAGCATTCCGAAAGTTTCGGGCTGATGGAAAAATGTGCAGCTTATAATATAGTCGCAAAAAGCATCGGTGACGTTCTTTTCCTTTTATAGTATTAATTTGCGTGGCAACAATGTATAGAAGTAGAGACAAAAAAATGTTTCAAGAATTTTATCAATATTTTTCAATCATCTAACCAACATAATTAGAAATGTAAACATTTTTTAAATAATTAATACAATTATGTATGAAATACACAATAATTTTTAACTCTTAATCACTTTTAAAGTTACTGTCGTAACTACATATCATTTTTTTAAATCGTTACACTTTGGTACACAAAGTCAAGAAATTGCAAACGTCAGTTATAAATACAAATCTCTGCATGTTTCTTTTCATCACTAAGTATGATTTTATTGTTACAGCTTGCATCAACTTAAAACATTTTTATATGTACGAATAACAAAGCTTTTATCTTTTAGAAAGCATTTATGAAGCGTAGCATTTTCAGCATAAATATTCTTTTGACAGATATGTTTAAACCTTGTACAATGAAGCGCACATAAAGAAGATAGAAATAAAAATAATAGAAAAGAGAGTATATCACAGTTATATCACAATCGGTTTGATTGAACTTTTAAAAATGCAATAAAACATACGATCAACAAAAGGGCTTTGATATTACAATTCGCAGTATACGTTTATTTACATTGAATGTAAATTTTACATTCAATGTTTTAAATATATCTATTCCAAAGAGAAATTTACGTGGAATTAACGTAACGCGCTAATTTACGCAAGTACGGCGTTCGCCAAATACAAATGGTACATGACAAACCAAGCTAATGTGGATAATCACCGGACACGGCAGTTACTGCCACAGAAGCCAATGATTAAGATTAATATTAGCGAGTCTGACAGCAACGATGTTATCATCGTGTGACACGCAGGATGGAGCACTATTTGTATTATTAGGACTTTATATTGCTATAACGGCTTTCCGACAGCGAAAAAACATTAATTGGAGAAAACTCACATTTTTTTAACTATTTGGTTAACAGCCACGCGCTTATTCTGTATTTTTTCCAGAATAAACTCAATTAAAAATATAGAAAGTTTAACGAATAATAAAATCTTCTATACACTGATTACAATTGACATACCACAAACCAAATTAATGTAGGTACTAGATATCATAGTTAGAATGATTAAGATTAATATCCCCAAGTCCCTTCTAACTTTCCAGTAAGAACACTATTATGAAGTTCCTCAAGAGATAATAGCGAATCCATAATATTGCAATTATTCAATGACATAGTAAGTACATTGCAATTATAAATATACATGTATATTAATATTTGTTGACCATAAATGTAGCAACATAGAATAATATCATAATAATGTGTAAGAATATAAAAGCACAGTATAATATATAGTAATTCTGTGAAAAAACAAAAATATCCTATTATTTCTTTGTTTTGAATTATTTTCAAAATAAAAAATAAACTTGCACAAAAAAGCTTTTTCTAATTATCTTACAAAAAGAATTAGTCTTGAAAACTTAAAAAACCACACACAAATCAAGATACAAATTTATGGTCAAAATTATGCAAAGAATACTAATAATTTTGTGTAATTATGCAAATATATTGAATAAATTTACTCACAGACCGTCGTACTCTAGCTAAGTATTCAGTCTTCAGTTTTACCTGGAGAAATATACATATATTTTAGTCATTAAATATCATACATTTTACATATGTTGATTACTATTTATTATTTATCTTGTGTGATTAAAATAATTATAATAAATTAAAAATTTTTACTAAATTTTCAATAGATGTTTAATAAACTTCAATAAACATCTTAATATTTTTTCAATCTTAAAAATTCTATTATTCTTTTAATTTATGAAGATTTAAAATATTTATTTATTAAATATTTGTATTTAATAAATTATTGCAATGATATATGTGTATTATCACAATTATGTATTTAAATAATAAACAAGTAAATTGTACCAGCTAGAGCGTTTATTCCATCCATGCAGAATCTTATGTTAGCTTCTCCGCATCAACTCCATCAAAAAATCGACGAACTGAAAATTCGTATTTTACGCGCACTACACTACACTACACTACACTACACTACTACACTACACTACACACTGCACTAACAAAAATCTATCTGCACACTTTACTTTCGAAGCAACACGAAAATCATAAATTTAAGTTGCGAATTTGCCGCGGAACACGAAACGTAACGCGAGATAATATAAAACACATTTTATATCGCAACGCGGCGATGTATATAATTATAACCGATATCATAACTTTACACATTCGACGATTAATTCGATGTTGCACACGAATTTGAAGCGAGTGAAATAGACAACGATTGCCTTGGCGGTTACATTGGAATCGTTTCTCTCTCTCTCTCTCTCTCATATCAGAAATATGAGTATATATCAATAAATATCTACAACACAATAACAACTACCATTTTATCCAATTCCAGCTGATAAGAAGTACATCGATCATCTTAAACAAATATAGGGCTTATCGTATTTATGGCGTCAAAATCTTTATTTGAGTTATAACTCATTTGAGAATCCAACCGCCAGACAGTCGAATCACCGTTACGCAAACACTTGCAGCGGAAATAATACGTTTAAACAATCGCCTGTCACTCTAATCGACACTCCCGATAAAAATTCGCAATCGTTATGCATTTTATTGCAAGATTATTACAGATAAAATATGCAATTAAACAACTTACGTCTTGCCCCGAGCAAATTTTCAACCGGAAAAGACGTACAAATGACGGTCGATAAGATAGAATGTCCAGTAGCCGATAGATGACTCTTCTTATTCTACTTCCTATTTAACATGGCGACGGAACGGATACATACGTAAACAGTTTAATTGCATATTTTATCTATTGTAATCTTGCAGCGAAAATGCATAATAATTGCGATTTTTTGTCGGAAGTGCAGATTAAAGTAACGAGCGATGAAGTGTATTATTTACCGCGGATATTCACGATCAACGTTTCGTCGATCGTTTGGCGACTAGATTCAAATAGGTTATAATGACAGTAAGTATAAATTCTAATATAGCATGAAAATAAATTATTCGTTCAAGATAATTAAAACAATGTACTTTTCATTAGCTTGTCGGATTTGAAATAATATGTAGTTGTTATTGTGTTGCAGATATCCGTACAAAGAGAAACCTTTCTTGTCGTCTTGTCGCCAATTGTCGTTTGTCTCACTTGCTCTGAATCCGTACAATGTCGTATCAATCGTCGAATGTGCAAGGTTATAATATCGTTTACAATTATTTGTGTAGTCGCGCGTTACGAAATAAAGCGTGTTTTTTATATATATATTATATGTTATGTTTACGTTTCGTGTACCGCGTTTCGTGTACCGCGTTTCGTGTACCGCGTTTTATGTATCGCGTTTTGTGTATACGCGAAGTAAGTCGCTGTGATTTTCGCGTCGTTCCGAAAGTAAAGTATGCAGATAAGTCTTCATCTAGTGTAGTGTCAGTAAATGCAAAATTGTAGTTTATCGATCCTTCGATGGAGTGGATTTTTCGATGAGATGGAATCTGCAGCGGATGAAATAAACTTACAAAACCCTAGCTGGTAAATACAACAATTTGTTTATTTAAACATATACATCATTGTGATAATACATATATTCATAACTGAAATTATTTATTAAATATTCATTAAATTATTTATCAAAACATCTATTTAATATTTATTAATAGTTTTAAATAATCATTTTCACACAATTTATTGTAAATAATTACGCTTTAATCAAAATATGATAATTCATGACTAAATTATGTATTAATTTCTCCAGGTACAGCTCAAGGCGTGCTTAGCTAAGGTACAACGACTGGTGAGTGGTTTCATTCATTATACTTGCGTAATTGGACAAAATACTAACTACTACTACAGAAGGGAATTAATTAAGATTGATATTAGCCAGTGTAATAACAATGATATCATGACGTACACGCAGCAAGAATGTCTTTTAGATTATTAGGACCGTATATATATATATATATTCGGGCGGTAATAGATAACTTAGCGTAGCAAGAATAAAAAGTTTCATTATAC